GACTGTGGAAACAAGAAGTTCTGTGTCAGGAGTCCCTTAAACTGTGACCCAGAGAAAGAACGTGACATGACCAATCAGTGATAGTTGAAATGAGTAGTCCCAGGAAAGGCTATTTATCCTTCGCACAGTCTCATGACCAATGGATAGGTGATGATGATGCCTATGTGTGTGTGTACTCATGACGACTAGACTGTGCACATACAGACATCCCACCTGACTGGACGAAGTCACCCTGTGAGGGAAACTGGGGTTACTCTTGAGGATGATGTTATGTTGTGTCCTTTCAGAAGAAACATTAGCCTTCCTGGTTTTAAGAATAGATTTGATCTAAATGGCTGTTTGCCATGGAGTCGGTTCCGACTTATAACCACGTTGTACAGGGTCTCCGAGGCTGTAAATCTTTACGGGAGCAGAATGCCTCATCGTTCTCCCGTGGGACAGCTGGTAGTTTCGAACTGCTGACCTCGTAGTTCACAGCCCAATTCATAACCACTACGCTACCAGAGCTCCTTGGAGCATTCCAGTAGGTTTCTATATTATCTTTTTTGAATGAAGTTCTATGACTCACAGCTGACCCCTCTATGTTTTCACGGTGAGACTCTGTGTCAATTAACTGTCAATCAGTGTGAAGGAGCCAATAAGAGGGCCACTCAAATCCTCATCATCACAAGCTTCTAAGAGAAAGCGTTTAAAAGATGACCCTAAATACAAGCTACTAAATATTTATAGCACATGGTGCAGCTGGTGATGGTCGAATTTATAAACATGCCCAGCAGCCTTAGATTCCAAACGAAAACCACAATGTGACAGACTTTCCAATGGACATAGGAGAATCCCGTTCCTTGTTCCTTCTGAAAGTTCATGGTGCCCTAATGCTTGTGGCGTGGGTAACTACTGTCAGCACAGGTAGACTGATTGCCGATTCTTCAAACCCATATGGTCAAAAGCTTCCTTCTTCAGTGAAGCAGCTTGGTTTCAGGTTCATTGGATATTCACGATCACTACATCTGTCCTCACCTGTGTTGCTTTTTGTCTCCCTTTTATATACAAAGGAGGCTGGAGTTGGCCTGCCATCTCGCCACCCTACCTTGGTTGTATAGTGATGACTTTAGCAGTTTTTCAGCCTCTTCTTCTACGGTCTTCCTTATCCATTGTCCAGCTTTCGCATGCATATAAGGTAATTGAAAATACCATGGCTTGGGTCAGGCGCACCTTAGTCCTCAA